ACGGATATACTGCATTTTTGTTTACTTCGTTTTATGAATTTTCAAAATCCCTTATAGTTTCTGCAAAACAGGGATTAACATTAAAATTTGAGCTGCTAAAAATGATTTATTGAGAATCGCAAATAAAAACTCTGGTTGATACATGTTTGCAGAAACTGAGAAAGAGAACTGTAAACTATTTTACTCTTAGTTTTCATGTCTTATGTATGATGTTAAATTTGGAATTTCGGATTACTCTCATATAATGTCATGAACCAGTCTACAATATTGTTACGAATTTCGGTAATTTAAAATCGGCGTGGGTAAAACTCAACAACTTACTTCTTACTACCTCAAATTTACATAGCTAACTGCACAGCGATTATGTACAAAATAATTCTGGAGTAACTTCACTGGATTCTCTATATTCGCTGGACTCGACTCGTTGATTGAATTGGCTGAATCATAAGTGTTCTCGAAGGTGGCCTTTATTTAAAGCCACATTTCTCTTCTAGAAGTTCAGCAGTCGAGGTCTTTCTCGATTACCCATCGCGACTTCCGTTTCCAGGCTTTTCTTTAGCGAACGCCGCCCGGCCACTGTCATCGCCGTACATACTAGAACCCCCGTCGTACCGGGGCGGCGTATGGGTTTCTTTCGTAACAATATAGTTCATTAGCTCCCTGAGGTATTGTGATCACAAATCTATATTGATCGTGTGGTTTGTATAATGCAAATTTTATTAAAGTATAGCAGGAAAAATTAGGTGTTCAGTATAAACAGTGTCCAAAAGTCATAATAATAATGTTCTGTATTTTCATCCACAATTTGAATTTTAATTACAATTAAGGGGTTTGGACGATACCCTTCGAAACTGCCACTTGTAAACAGAAATTTTTCAGTATATCATTCCTATAACTACTATTAGGATGTGTTATGAAATCACCAAAAATCGTAACATGATATTTGTACCATGACTTTTGGTGACAGATTTTCGTATACTAAATGTTTCTATTTCACGTTCATAATCAAGCTCAAACTGAGTACTTCACTAGAACTGGTGTAATTTATGTTTTCATAATTAGCGTTGGTGGTCATTACCAATGTCACTGTCAATCAACAAATATAATAAACGTCAAAATAATGAAACAATGTTTATATATATATATATATATATATATATATATAATCTGTTACCCTCTTTTACCCATTGGGTGTCGAGGGGGGAGACTTTGTGGAACAATGTTTATAATTAGAACTAAATTTTACCATGAGTTGTCTAATTATTATATTGTACAGTATGGGATCTGTTTTGGCCTTAGATTAATGCCAGATAAGTTAATTGTCGTAATGTTTTGCTGAAATTACTTTTACCGATAACCATTTCACTGTCACGTGATTCATTTAACTGCACTGTGTAGCTTTGGAGCAAGTTTAGACAGTGCTGGGCTAAACATTATCTTCACCTTCAAACAATGTTAATAATACATAGTTTATTATTATTGAGAAAATTTTACTTCAAATGTTACAATCTCCACGACAAAATTCCTGCAAATAAAAAAAAACGATTTTCATTTTAGAATGGAAAAAATTGGTCGAAAGTTATTTCGACTGAACTTCCCTCGCTTCTGAAGTACGGTCCAACAAATACGGCTTCTCTGAAAAAATATAAAATTTAATTTTGCGGAATATTATTTTTTCATGATAACCTCTATGGAGCAAAAACAATGTAGAAGACACTAGTCACAGTGTAATAGAAAAAAGAAAGTTTTACCTTCTTAAAAAAGACACTTTGGGCCCCCGAGAAGGTTTTACTTTCTTTAATAAATTGACTGATTCATTTTTTTTTTTTTTGGTCACTCTGTATAAGCAAATCTAAAAAATATGAGTGCAATAAGTTACAAGTATAGTCTGATCATATTTTGCAAATTTTCGAAAGAATTTATTCGGCAAAATTTTGAGATGACGTAATCAATCTTTTGGGGTTGACAAACAGATACATTTTGATTAAAAACTTAACATGCTTACAATAACTTCACAACGTCAAGATTTCAAAGTACATTTTCAGTTTTGCAATGCTTGATTTAATCAATAAAATAAATTGACACAGTCATTAACTTTTTTCAGACACCTCGTATAAGCAAATCTAAAAAATATTAATGCAGTGGTAGATCACAAGTATAGACTCATCATATTTTGCACATTTAAGATTTTTTCAGCAAAATTTTGGGGCGGCGTCATAAAATTTTTAGTGGGGATGAGCAAATACATTTTGATAAAAAATTTAGCATGCCTATGATAACTTTAAGACATCTCAAAGATTTCAAAGCATTCGGTTTTGTAGTTTCTGATTAAATCAATAAAATAAATTTACACATTCATTAATTTTTTTTAGTCACCCTGTATATTCAAATACAAAAAATATGAATGGAATGATAAATCACAAGTACAGAGTCATCATATTTCATACATTTTAGATAGGATTTATACGCCAAACTTTTGAGGTGACGTCATCAATTTTTTGGAGGGGATAAGTAAATATATTTTGATGAAAAATTTATCATGATTATCATAACTGTAAACTATCTGCACGATTTCAAAGTATTGGGTTTTACAGATTCCAAATTAAATTGCAAAATGTTGTTTTATAATATAAATTACATGTGTAGGACTATGTTATTTTATACATTTTAAAATGATTAGACAAATTTTGGTTAGCGTTTTACCATCTACATGATATTCCTAATATAAATACAAATTTTGACAACAATCGGCCCAGTACTTTCGGAGATTATTTGTCTTATAAAAATCCGGGACGGCAGATAGACGGACAAACAGACGGACAGACAGATGGACAGACAGACGGAAACGGGAAAACTATTTCTTCGTCCTCTAGAGGTCATGAAAGGTCGAGAAAATGTAAAAGTAGACAGTTGGCCGACGGACTCGATTACAATACTTCCTTTGCTTACGCTCGAGAAGTAAAAAGTTGCGAAATCGAAAAAATAGCATGAAATACACGTTTTATAGGAGACATCTTAAAACATTCATCCCTTAGAAAACTCGTTTGAGGACTCGTTCTAATTTTGAGTTTCGTATTCTAATATAACGTCTTATGCAAATTGTTTTTTGATATATATTGTTTTAATATCGGTGTTGTGTTATCAAAATCGGGGATTAAATTCAAGTAAATGTTTTGAAACACGATTCAGAGTTCCCTTGAAAAACATTTATAACTGATTTAGCACTGTATGAGGGCCTTACCTTCGACGTTGCGTAAACTCATCGGCCATGATGGTTCACACCTCTAATTAAAGGCACACACATGGGCGCCCTGATAAAAAAATAAAATAAAGGAAATCACGTGCTATAATAATCTAAATTAAATACACGAACTTTGATTTTTTAATTTAGAATTTGTATCACATTGTTACAGTATACGATTTCATCGTAAGTTTCTTCACATATAGTTTAATCAGGAGGAGCGTGCCGCCAGTGTATAGTGGGCTAAAAACATCCAGGGTTGCATTGAATTTGTGATTTATGGTTTTCTGGGTCCAATCTTCATTGTTAACTTTGAAATACCAATAAAATTTTATTAGATACTGATGTAGTGTAGGAACTGTATGCAGATAACTAACGCAGAAAATACGAACAAATACTGTTTGAGTGGGTTATTAGAATTAACTAATTGTCAAAAATTTCTCTTGTGCTGCTATTGCCAAACTTAATCCAAACGCTTGTCGCCATATCATTTTCAAGTGGTTGGTAAAGTTAACTTATGACATTTTAATAATAATAAATCAGCAATAAATTTTGATCGGAATTTTTACTGTCAACAGTGTTAATTTTGATAACAGTGCGTTGGGAGTGATAGTTCCACCAATTTCAAGTAAATTTTTTTTTACCAATAAACATTTAGACAACGCACTGAAAATTTGTAGAGTGCAGTTTCGATCTCCTTAGGTCTCATCAGTACAGAATACTTTAGTGATTGTTTAGGACTCGTTTTGTCTACAGATTTTCATTCCGTTTGATTGAAGTTTCTTGAAATAAATTTACATTAAATTTTATATGGTTTAGATTTTTATCTTTCTTGTCTAGGAATTCGATGGATAGAAGTAAGAGAGACACAGACACAGAAGAATTTGTTTCCTTATGAGAAACATTTTGGATTTTACTATATATTTAAAAAAACAAGGAATATAAAATGCATGTATAACCAGGTACACATAGTTTTAAACATCCAGACGTTCTATATTGATGTTGTCGTGTAAGCCTGGATGCTCATTTTGTGGTCACGTGAGGCACATGTGATCACTCCTTTTGTTCAGTAAACGGACTATATGTGCAGTTGGGAATTTTTTAAAATCACAAATCAGAGTACAAATTTTCGACAACATACGAATTCTTTTTCAATAAATTAAAATTGATATTTTATCTTCACCAAAAGGTTACTAACATCATCGCAAAAATTTGGAAAAATAAATAATAATAATAATAGTGAATAAAAAACTGATCACATATAATGAAATTTTGTTATATATTACACATATTCAATGAGTATTTATTTTATAGTTTGTAGATAAAAATAATAATAGTTAACTTTTTTAAAGCTACATATTTTCGATTAAAGTTAATAAATTCAGGACGTTTCTAAAAATAACCAAAATCTCATATGTGTTATACATAAAACCTTCTAAATTACTGAAAAGATTCATTCATCTGAAAAATGGCAAAACGTGTCAAAGCTCACTCCTAATCCCATCCCAATTAAGCACTCTTGCAAACAATGTTTACTTCCGTTGAATGCGAGGTTATTAATTAAATTTTAGTTAATTTGAGAGTCAATTGTTCGTTGAACGGAACAGTTCATATTTACGTTTCCTAATTAGTGACACATTTTCAAAATGTAAAAGAAACGAAAAAAGCGAAAAACTAAATCGACCGTTTCCGATCGGTGTCGGGATCAACCGAACAGGTTGCCTATTCGATTCGAACAGGAACTTTGTCGGCAGTCGTCGCGCGTCCGCTAGTATGGATGTGACTGTAGTTATCTCTCTTCCATTCACATCGTTTTCGTAAACTTTTCAAACTTATCTAAGCGTAACGGACAATTTTAACGCAAAGAAGTGATTATTTTGACTATTCTGTTCGACTTAAGTGACTTTTTTTTGTCCACAATGCTTTGTTTGGAGGTGTTTTTCGTCGTTGTTGGCGCTTTAACAGGTGAGTCAACTTGATATTGTGCAATGCCACCTGAGATTATTCGCTTTGTTTAGGTGTGCATAACCTCACATTTTCTTGTTTGTTTTAATTTTTTTAATTTGGGTTTTTTATAAGTAGCCGATATCATTTTTTGGCGAAATTGTTTTGAAAAAGTAATTATGTATTATGCATTTACGTCGGTGATTTCCCCCAATTATTTTTATTGAAAACATGATATTGCTAATGTGCTATAATTTAATTATTTATTTCAATCTTGTAAAATACAAAATTGAACATGCGTTTATCAACAAATTAATTTTTGTTCTTTTTTTTTTGTATTAATATTAATTCAGAATGATATCATAAAATAATCAATCAAATGCAAAGTACGACTGTCTTTATTTCGATATTTTTAAATGCTAATTATTGTGTACCTATTTCTTATTGAGAATTTATCAAAACACTAGCTTTTCTGAATAATTTTAGATTTAAAATTTTTTGCAATTAAAATATTATTATTTTAATACTTTATAATGATGCGACTACCGCCATATCGTTTATTATAACTTTTTTTATGTATATTATATTTATATATCAAAAATGTAACACCATTAAGCTATACAAATGACCTATTTTAGCTCTTTAAATTATGTAGCAAAGAAGTGTAACATCCATTTTGAAAAGAGAAATGACATAAAATACATTTACTTTTTTCACCGTATATATAGCATTAGTTGATTAGTGAGACTATTCTACAGAAAATAATTTAATTAGTGAAGTAATGATTTAATTATGTCACTATATAAACAGTAACAATATGTAATTTTTTATCAAAATATGTTAGTTCTATGAAACTGTTAAATCTTCAGTTAATAATTAATTACCAAAAAATTGTGTACTATATGTACCGCCGTAGCTAGTATTTCAATAAAATACAAATGTGGTGGGATGGTTATTTGATTTTCTGTGTTACGAAATAAATGATTCCTGGTTTAGTTATATAGACGAACGTCAACAACAAAAAAAAAACCGTTATACTAATGACACAATTTTTGGCGAAGTTACTTTTAAATATTCGTCGTTAATTTACATACAAAATGTGATTCCATCAACCAGTCAAGATGACTTAAATAATTTAAATATTGTTGATTTTTCCCAGGCAAAATAGCTCTCCTATTGTTCAGATAATTCGTAGGCTGTAAGAGCCAAGTTTAATGACAATTTGCGTAGCCGAGGCAAACGTGTTATTCATAATTTATTCTGATGCGCTGGTACGTTTTTGTTGAAAATTAAAAGTATTTAACGTTTTCTGGAGATGCCATACCAATTTCTTAATTAGCGCAAAGTCTTGTTACACTTCCGCAACAAAAATATGTTTGTGTTCACGTAAATGAGCACAAAAATTATTATTATTAGCTAATTAAATAAATAATCGTAGGGTTTATTTAACAAACTTGATGATTTTTTCTTTAAATTTTGGTAACATACCAACTCATAAGTAACAAATAGGCATTAAAAAATGTGTCCGAGACTGCAGTACTGCAAATATTTTAATAATACACTTTTATTATTATAGTTTGCTTACCAAAATATGATTGTGTGGGAATCATTTATTTTTATCGATTGTCGTAGGAGTGGTTCAAGTCGGGTTCAACTGATGTCCTTAACATTCTGGCAAAATAGTAACAACATTTGTAATTAGTACCAGACCGTCGACATCAAAATGAATAATTGCATCCACACCAAAAACTTGATTTAGTCTCAAATAATAATTATTTAGTATTTAAAACCAGATCGTCGAAATTCATGTGGTATTGTTTGAATTTAATTCTTCAAGTGTCCAATTTGGTTTTGTAGACTTCAACGTTGGTATGCGCTAAAAATGTATTGAAATGTTGAATATTTTGTAATTTTTACTTTGCATAATACGAAATTACAGGTTTTCTGTTTTTCATTTATCTGTGGTCTATCTGAAAATTTTGAGCGAGTAATCTTCGATACCATTGTACTGATTATTCTCACTACTTCAAGTACTTCATGATTGGTAGTAGGAGACGGTAAAACATAAAAAAATGTTTCTTCATTCTCTTGAAAGAATTGACAACGTCAGCCCAACATTTTAGGTATTTTACTTGTAGTATGCAGGTTCTTCTACTCGTAGTTTCCATTAGTCAACTGATATTTTTAACTTTATTTTAAACAAATAATTATGTTAAGTTTTAAAATTTATCTTCAAACCACATAATGATTTTTTTGTTGAATTTTTAACATTAATCACTATGATTTGGGAGTGGTAGAACATCATTTTAATGTACCACACCCATAAAATCAATGACGTCATCCTAGAAGATTATTAAATGCATCCTTGTAAACTGCGACAGGATGTCGCAAAAAGATAATATTTGATCTGATTTTATTGAAATCTAAAATAAAAGTCTAAAAATTTCGACAAAATTCGAGAACACAATTCCGATGTGGTTGGTATTTCGTTGTGTACCTATATAATTTTATTTTGGAATAATTAGTATGGTATCCGTTACATAATTACGATCACAGAATTACAACTTTTTATGTCCTAAAAACTGTATTTTCTTAATGTCGTAAATTTTATAAATAAAATAGCTTAAATTTTTTGCTTTAAAACGGCCAGAAGTAGTTTGGAGGAAAAATAAAAAATATTAAAATCTAAGCCGAATCTGTTGTCGTGATTGAGCTCATATACATGTAACGACATACACATTTTTAATTTAAAAGAACTCACAGTTATATGTCACATCAGTGTTTTCAATATCAAACGATTTTGCTTTGTCAGATGTGACTTTTTAAAAGAGCTGGAGGAAATGAAAAACATTCTATAATAAAATGACATAAAACCCGAGTTGTGTTGTTATCCTCGTGATCGATGTCTCTCTCTCTAGCTTAAATTTATTGCGTCTTTTTAAATAATTCTGAATAAAAAAAGACTTTCTGTGTAAAATATATTTCTTTGATGTTGATTATTTCATGTACCTTCCAAAATTATGTCTACAAATCAACAACATTTATTAAACAAGTAACACTAACCGTAATATTTTCATCAAGTTGATTGTTATTGAAGCTATGAGAACAGTGTTTTTAGCATTTATTAAGGGCAATAAATTATAAAGTTAACCACTCAATCAATTTAAGACAGTACAGCAAAATATAAAAATATTTCAACTTCATGTTGAAATGGGTTAAAAATGTGTGTCTTTTGATGTTCTTTTTCTGTAAGCGGGACACGCCTTAATTAGATCATAAAAAACAAATACAAAAAGTGTAACACTAAACTCTCATTTGAATGCTAATTTAAAATGACTCGTGAGCTTGATGGGAACTGTCTTTAAGGGGGACATTTTTTACTGTCGTTCCTGCAAAAGCATGTTTAGACGGCTTTAGTATAGTTTACTTTGTGAATATTTATGTAGTGGCAATACATTACACCCATGTTTGAAATGTGTTTCAGTGCGGGATCGATTTTTCTCCACACTATAGATTTCACTTTTTATCATCAAACATGCAAAATATTTAGAAACAAATGGGGAAATATTCCCCACAAAAAAGATACGGACATGTTAACCGGAAATGTGTCGACAGTGAAAAATGTAATTTGTTTTGTTTTCCAGGAGAATATTTCTGAAGCCTCGTTCACTCCGTTTCTCGTATATTACGTATGGCAAGATATAAATTCATCAAAGTTCTGTATGCATGCATGCAGATGCATATGGGAATAATTATCCGGTAATACGGACTTTATAACACGCTGTAATAGTCCATCGACAAATTTCTAATTATTCAGTTCCATTTCCTCCGAATCATCCATTTTCGCACAATTCTCGGCATATGTCTTTATAATCGCGCTATTTGCTTTTGAGCAAATGCCCACTTTTCTCTGTGGGCGTTTATTTGTTCAGCTTTCGGTAGTGCTCCTTCTGCAGCCTATAGCGAATAACACGAATCGGCTGTAAAAGTCTCCCACTATTAGCATGAAATTTACAAGAAAATGGAAAAAATGAAATCTGAATTGAAAACTTTTTACTTCTCAGTGGATGGGAGAGATGAAAGCTAGATTATTCTTTTTTGCTTCGGGTGACTTCCCGACATATGTGCCAGTAATCTGAGAGTCATTTTTAGCAACCTTGAGATGACAAATTTGAGGGTAAACTCGAGCGACTAGCATACCGCAGTTAATCACCTGAAACGGAAAGGGATTTGTTAAATATTAACGTGAGTGGTGAAATTTTTGATGTATGGCTCTCGACAATTTACCAGGTTTTCTCATTTATTTCAATCATTTGCACACGTTGTAAACGAACGGATCAAATATTCATGCTTGTTTAGAGCAATTTCAAAGTCGTACATCGTTAATTGTTGGATGTGGAACAATATAAAGTCCGACTGATGTTATAAATATGCAAATTGTATTCAACACAATACACAACTAAAACATTAAAATAGGTATTTGTAATATTTTTATTAAAATCGAGGTCTGGAACATTATTTAACAGAATTATAACAATAAGTTGAAGCAGTGTTTGTATTTTTGAAATTAGAAAGTTATTATGTATCTTAAAAACTAATCAATGTTTCTGGAACACTTTTTGTTTTTTGAGTATTCACAATGCTAATACTGAAAGCTACGGCTTAGGGAGTTGACTACTAAAATTGTAAGTACTTTGTAACATTTGTTTTATTTTAGTAGTAAATACCGTGAAGAGTTAATATAGTTATTGACGGATTTCTTGATTTCATTAGTTGTTAAGCAAAATTTACGACAAATTGGCTAGTGAAAAAAAGACCGTAAAGTCAAAATTTTACGAATCAATACGTTTTTTCAACATTTCGCAACTTTTACACATGCTTTTTCTAGGGGCACAATGTTTCTAATCTGGGGAAAGTATTGTCATCTTGATTAATACTAATAATAATATAATATCTTTGATATGTAATTTCGCCAAAATTTTTGAAACGGTGTTACATAAATCTTTCATTTTCAACATTCA